AATAATGACAATACGTCAATACCTACTTAATATACATTAATTGTTATTTATATATAGACGGTCTTATTGGAGACGATTCAATTATTGAAATTAAATGTCCCTTTTCTGCTAAAACTGAATTAAATATATTTGAAGCTATTAAAAATGGAAAAGTATGTCAATTAAATAATTATTCAATTTAAGTAGTTTCAAATTAATATGAATATAAGACATTACTCGGTAATTACAAATGAGTAAAAATTATTTTAAACTTTTATAGATATTATTTTGCCAAATTGACGACAAAAAGTGAGTAACATTAAAAATCAACCATGACTATTTCTATCAAATTCAAACTCAGTTGCATGTTACAAAAAGAACAAAATGTTACTTTTTTATCTTCGCGGATAATTGGTCTTATATTATATTTATTTTTTATGATGTCAACTTTTGGAACACTAAAATAAAGTTGCAGTTAGATTAATACCTTCCCTTATCACTGACGACCAATCTATTCTGCCAAAGGAGGGTGGTCTCCTGAGCGTAGTGTGCCTTTCTCATTTCGGTTTCTGTCACCGTCAAAGCGCCTTTCCTGACCGCGGTTCGGTCGCTCTCGATTTTCGCAGCCTGTATCAGTGCGAGGTCAAGCAGCGGTAAGCCTGCTATCCTGGAGCGCCATCGTGGAAGTGGTCTTATACGCCCTCGTTATAGATAACAATGGGTGGCGTTGGGCACTATTAGCCCATCCGCGATAATATGCCAGTACCATGCACTCGCCGGCCCATGCGGACGCTGCATAAGCGATTTGTGGCATAAATACGGACTTGTACAGTTGTGACCCACTTTGTTTTAGCTACTCCAACGAGTCTGCTTCCTTATACGGACAGTTAAGAAAAATTGAAGTTAATAAACTACAAAAAGCTCTAACTGAAGAACAAACGATATTTTCAATAGTAACTATTCAAAATAAAGAGCCGTTATTTCTGCCAGTGTGAATGTAGTTATGTTAATTGCAAAAGAGGGAAAATCATTTACAGACGCAGGATTTGTCATGGCCGGTAATATTTGTCCAGATATTGTACATAAGTATGAAGAAGTCCCATTACCTGCTCGTACAATAACAAGACGTATTGAAGATGTTGGTGACAATTTCTTAAATCAACTGATAAAAAAAACCAAAACATTTCAATATTTTTCGTTAGCATTTGATGAAAGTACAGATATTGTTGGCTCTGCACAGTTAATTGTATTTATTCAAGGAATTAATGAAAAGTTTGAAATAACTGAAGAAATTCCCGCCGTCTGTATTTTGAAGCGGACGACGCGAGGTGAAGATAATTTTTTACACGTTCAAAACATTATAATATCTTCATTAGATCTTCAATTACATAAACTAGTTAGCGTAACCACTAACGGAGCGAGAAATATGACGGGCAAAAATATTGGATTTCAGGCTAATTAAATTAAAAGAATTGTCACCACTATTTGCACCGCTATTTTTTCATTGCATTAATCATCACTCATCAGTATGCACTTTGCGCCAAAATGATGTCATAGAATTCAATAATGAAAGATGTAGTTGACACGGTCCGCAGCGGCATCCAGTGCTAAGTACAGGTACCGCAGCCAGTCTACGCTTTTGTCAACCGCCACCACGGGTTACGATAGCGCGACATTGTCGACTCTCCTTCCACGCCACAGAGGCTAGGCGGGACGGGAAGACAGATCGTGCCGGACACGTACCGGTTGCCACCGATCGAGGACACTTTTTCGAACCGACCGTCAACGAACGCCACGACTTGGATCGTTACTAACAAAGCCGGCTCTAGCTTTTACAGCGCCCAGTGCAAGTATTATTTCAGCGCCTTTCGCCATGTTTTTAAATATATAAATAGGCAACCGCACACCCCCTTGATTTTGGCGCCCCTGTGCCGTCACACACGTTTATCGTATCTAATCCGGCCCTGGTTACTCAATTTGTATCTTTTTATTTTTTTTATCTAATTTTTAATCCGGACACCATACCGGTTCCTTTATTTACAAATAAAATCAAACGTGACCGAAAAAGTGTGTAATTATTATATAATATATTATACAATGTTGAGACTATCTAGATAAATTATTTGGATAATAACTTCTAGAATATTTATCTTATCTAGATAAATATTGTTTAAGTTTTATATTGTTAATCTGAAATAAAATATAAACATATCTATATAAATTTATCTATCGATAAATATTCGATCAGACACGCAAAAATATAAACATCCATGAATAATATTTTTAATTGTTATTAAATATTAAATACATGAAATTAATAAAACTATAATCTTGAAGAGCATTCTATAATAATATACTGTTAGCCCCAACTATTTCAATGCATTTAGTTGTGTGACTAGAATTTTGTGGATTAGAATAATGAACAATGATTTTACGGTATCAAATTATCAGTTGACCGTTGTTCAATTTAATTTTTCATTCATCACCAATAATTCAAGTTAGTTATTAACTAAGTTATTAAGTGAGTTAGAAATTTAGTAAATTTCAGAAACTAACTTATATTCTAACTTAGTTACTTTTTATATTAAAGTAACTTAACTTTAACTAGTTTAAAAAGTGACTAACTTGCTCAGCTTTGGACCCCGGTTGTTGCGCCACTGCACATAAATTGATATTTATGTAATAGTGTTTAAAAGATTGTAATGTTTTCACAACCAGCTTGCACAATATTAGTTAAAAGATTAAAATACAACATTACATATTTAATCAATTTTTAACTTTTAATTTAATATAAAGCTTATATAAATTGACTCACATTCCGGTAATAGTAACGTTGGTATAGAATTACGATTCCATTACCATGGCTATGACACGATGAGTTGAAGTGTAGATCACACATGACGTAAGATGCATAGATCTTTTCATGAGCCATACTTAACAACATTCGATTGCCCGATCGTTTTATCCATATGAGAAAACGTGGAATATCGTGTTTAGGAAACATGTGTTTAGATATACTAATCCTACTGTTACAACCATTTACAACACACAACGGAAAAGGCATATTATATTGTAATAAAACACTAMAAAACACTAATAGCCACTTATACAAAACACTTCAAACAGTTGAAATTGGAAATATAAGTAAATACGTAATGGACAATGACTAATGGCCATGGGAAAACAGAAGAGATAAATGATGGACATTTGGACGATTGGCTATTAGGCTGATAATTAGGTTTATTTTTATACATAGATGTGTTTACTAATTTGGTATTTATTTTGTTACAGTACTGGTACATGCACATATGTACAATAATTTTTGTGGGTTGGTATGACTTGTCTACTCGACTATCACAGTTTCTTATACGCTAGTTAACAACCCCYGAGTTACACAACAACCACCACCTCTCCGCAACGCCATCCTCTTCGTCACGCGGAATTACTGCCGAAAGTAACGCAGCGTGCAGGCCGTAACTCAGAAACCGGTTATCGCCGCTGCCGCTGTCAGCCGCCGCCGCCACCGCGTCATAGTATCCATCATCAATTTTATACGAAGCATTGGACTGAATCACAGACAATTTAAATTTCAAAGTTTTTTYGATTGAAATTAATGCAGACTATGGCGATGTATTGTACATTTGTACTACACCGCAGTTAGATGGTTAACCAGAAGCCATGTGCTTGATAGAGCCCTGGCTCTGACTATRCCGAGGTTTATCATGAACAATTTTTACATCACCCCACATACCATACAGTTCGTTTATAGTATTATTGACAAACTCTCTTCCATCGTCTGAGTGCAGTATGACTGGTGCTCCAAATGGAAAAAATATTTAGTACATTATGTGCAACTTCTCCCGCACGTTTTGTTTTTAATGGTTCAAGTACAACGAACTTGGTTAGGTGGTCTTGGTAATTCATTATAAATAGGAAATCATTTACACTCTGTGATTGCATATCTATCAAATCCAGTTGAGCACGTGAGTTGTATGCCGAATGTAAAATAGGTTTTGATACAAGCCCTCTTTTTGGATTTGAAGCTTTTTTATGGCAAACAGAACATAGACTTAAATAAACCATTATTGTTTCCTTTGTCACATTCGCGTATTTTAGTTTAAGTTCAGCCATCTTACGGTCTCGGCCTCCGTGACCAATTGCTGTATGTGTAAAATGGAGATATAAAATAACTCTTCATTTTTTACATAATAGCGCACTTCCTCTGGCACATTGGTTATAGTTTTAATAAGACGATCATTGCCATTAATAACAAGAATATCGTACTTACGAACATTCCTATAATCTTTCGAACACTCTCACTCCAGCCGTAGATAGCGTAATTTTAGATTGTTTTACTTCTTCAATTCGTTCACAATATTCATCATTATTCAAAAAAAAGTTGTTGTCGTTTCGTTTAGATTCAATTAATAATAGAATGGCGTTAAAATTGTATGCGCATTTCATTTAAATCCATTTTTAAACTAATTACTATACACAAATCACAATATTATTACACGTTGCTATTCACTATTTCAATGTACAAACAGTACTGTCAATTGCAGGATGTTTCTATTACGATACAAGCTTATAATACCATAAATTTTCATTCATCAATTTATAAGCATTAAAAACGATAACATAAAACCGGGTTTATCACAATTGTATAGATAGCTATGTTCCATAATCAAATTGATTAAATCTTAATCTTGGACAAAAGAAGGTTTTAATTCAAGGAAAAATTGTGTGCATGCAATACACATTCATGGAACTTCAGTAAATCATGTAACTGCTTCATTTAAATTCATTTAAACAAACAAATGTACTTACCTATTTTGCTAGCCCTTCAAAACCAACGAAAAACTCAAGTTGCTATGAAAAAGCAAGTTATTACAGAATTAGTGGACATTGTTTTATACTTAGCACATCATAACCTTGCTTTTAGAGGGCATACAGATACAGGGATCCCTAATATTCAAAACGGTAATTTCAAGGATCTGGTAATTTTAATGGCAAAAAACTCTATACCGTTATCAGAACACTTACACAAAATTGAAAGTTCAGGAAAAAAAGAATACTCTTTTGTGACTTGGTAACGTCAAAACCAACTATTGAATCTATTTCAGAAGAAATTTCATCGCAAATTCAAATGGCCATAAAAAAGTCTCATATGTTCAGTATATCTGTAGATTCAACATTTGATGCATAGAGGAAAGAACAAGTGTCTTTTGAGGTTCGGTAATTTGATGAGTCGTTAGGAGATGTATTTGAAAGAGTTGTTGCAGTAAAAGAATCCCCTGCTACAAGTGGACAAGATCTATATGATTTATTTATAACGATTATGGAAGAACAAAAATATCATTGGAAAGAACTTATTGGGTAATCCTATGACAGTGCATTATGTCGGGAAATTATAAAGGTCTTCAAGCCCGCATTAAACAAGAAAATCCTCGAGCATTGTTTGTTTGGTGCCATGCACACCGTTTAGCACTTGTAGTCAAACAAGCCGTTTCATCAGACTCCAATACAATAGATTTATTTGGTCATTTAGAATCTTTATATGTGTTTATTTGGTGCTCCAAAAAAAGAGCTGCTTTATTTCGAGAAAACCAAATTGAACACTCCCAGTCTCATGCTGTAAATCGTGTAAGTACCACTCGTTGGAGTCCACATCCAGCAGCTTTACTTTAAGCCAAATTAAAGACTTCGAGAAAGGTAACCCTTTAATACGTTCTACTTGTAGTGGCCTCGTAACAKATTTTACGTCATACAAATTTGTATTAACAGCTGTTGTGTTTAAAAATATATTTCTTATATTAGAACCGGTAACCAAGCAGTTTCAATCTCGTGATTTAGATATTTTACTTTGTAGTTGTATCATTATTATATTATTATATTATTATTCTATGTGTTATGTATACTGCCCTCCTAAGCCAAAAGGCAGTAAAGCGACAAAATTTGAAAAATGAGTTTATTATATCRAATTRATCGTTATTTTAAGGCGCATTTTTTGATTCCTTAGCAAAAATACCGTAAATGCAATAGTTTTTGTAATAAACGTGGTTAAACATATACGTATTTACAAATATATGAATG